TGGTGATTGATATCTTCCCAAAAACGTAACCAACTCCTTACCATAGAATCTCCGAACCAGTTGTCCGTTTTAGGTTCCTAGTTCCTTCAATACTAGGTGACGACTCTAAACTCGTAAATAAATTTGTAAATATTCAATCAAATCATAAATATTTTCGAGGAGTCCCGTCCGACGCGTCGGGTAGCGACTAGTAGCTTAATATTTCAATTTGATTTTAGATTTTAAAAGGTCTTTAATCCATTTTTATTATTTGAGTTGGTTTTTAATATATTCTTGTAATCATAATTTTCAACCAAATTAAACATATAATTTGCATATGGTAAGTGATTTTGTTAAAATTGTTTTTATTATTTGACACAAGTGATCTATATATACTAAGATGAAGATTAATTTTTGATGAATTGACTGAAAATTTTGATCAAAAAATAAATCAGAAACCAATACAAATAAAAAAAACATTTTAAAATTTAAAGATAGAGTAAAAAATTGATTTATTATATAAAGATACATGATAATATTAACTCACACATATATATATATATATATATATATATGAAAGTTAGTACACGAGTTGGTTTGTACTATTTATTTATTAACTTATTTACCATATAATATCGACAATTTTAACAATAAGTTGGAAAACGACGTATCAATGACATCCTCGTTGAGGATCCATGGCAAAAAGGATACGTAGGCCCTTATTCCTTTGGTGCCACTACAATGATAGCCAATAGCCCAAAAAAAAAGTTTATGTCCCACTTTTGTATTTTCATTTCTGGCATGAGCAATTGGCGATCCCAAAATAAAAAGTTCATGTCTCACTTTTGTACCATTAGAAAGACGTGAACTCATCAAAGATGTCGAGGAAGAGGGGTCCTTTCTTCACTGGTTGCTTCATGGGCTGGAATGGCAATGAATGATAACCCCAGTTCAGAGACTAGGCCTGGGGCTCGTGATTGGGCCACTGTCCAGTCTAGAGCGGAAGCCTGAGCCCATTTAGAATTGGATTGGATAAGCTGTGATTGGGCCCATTCTGCTCCCTTGTTTAGCCCCCTCCTCTTTGCAGTGTGAGCGACGGAGCCATGCAGCTGTGTCATTCCATATTCAATTTATTTTAGCTTGTTTCGATTTTCTTTTTTATTTACTTACGGTTTAATCCTTTATCGCACTCTTTCTTTTGTGTTTAGAGAGTCTTCTTAATATTATTTATGTATGTTACATCATTCTATTGTTTGGTTTTACTAATATTGTTAAAATCTAACATATGACAGCATGGGAGATCTCATTGATATACATTTTAATCCTGAATTTTTTTGAAAACTAACTGTAGTCTTTTATTTTTTTTATTTTATTACAAATAAGTTTTTAATTGAAAGATTTTTTTTGTCATTATATTTTATAGTAAATACAATTTAGTTTCTAAATAATTTTTTTTAATTAAAACCCCACATAGTAAACTTAGTTACGATTCTCATAATAGATATGTGATATTATAAAAAAATAAAAATTTAACAAAATCATAATTATATAAATTATAATAATTAAAAAAATTATCACATCTGTTCAATCAATCTAGTCAAACAAAATTATCAAAAAGTTCATGAACTAATATTTTGATATACAATTTATTTTTTGTTTCTTTGAACATATGCTACATATTATCAGCATGTTGTGGTTTTATTAAGTAAATTATAAATTAGTCTCTCTTGTTTTTTAAAAAAGCAAAACAATTAGTTTTTCTAATTTCAAAACCTAATTGTTTCATTTTTTAATCAGTATTAATCAAAATTAATTTAATTTTTTTATTTTATAAAATGTATCGTGTTTTTATCAATCTTTTCAAAATTTTTACTTTTTTTAAAAAAAATTATTTAAAAATAATAAAAAAATTAAATGGTTGGATTTTGAAACGAAAAGGATTAAGAAATTCGTTTCTAGAAACAATTTGTTACTAATTTATAATTTTCTCTGATTTTATTTGCTACTGACTTGGAACGTGAGGTATCGTTTTACATGGAAAGAAGAAAGTGATGATAGCTTAAAAGATTCAAAGGAGACAGCGATAAGTGTAAAGTTCAAAGTGTCAGCTCACACTTCAACTTAAGAAATTATAGTTTTGGACCTGAAACAGGAAGGGGTGGTGTTTTGTTGAGTTGTGATTGGTTTTGTAATTTGAATTAAAAGAGGAAAAGATAAATCAATCAAGCAGTCATGGTTAAGCTTATCCGTACACGGTAATTTTTTCACAGTAAAATACATTTGAATCTTAATAATTTCAATTTATTTAATCATTATATAATAGAGAATAGTTATTTTTATTGTGTAATTCAAAATCGATGAATCTTACAATGAATATAAATAAATAAATAAATGAAGATATAAACAAATAAAACAAAAACAAGATATAATACCTGGAAATGGATGTACAAGAAATTTCTATTATTAAACAAAAATAAATAAATTGGGTTATTATATTGTCTTATTAAAAAAATGTATGTATCTATGTAAGAAAATGCCTTTGATTTTTTTGTTTCCTTTTCTTGAATGTACAAGAAAAATGACAACCACCATCTCTCCATCCAGGAAGCTGTCTTGTCTCTGTCAAGTCTCTTCATCAAAATAAAGAAAAGAAGCGCTACCTCCACCCAAAACAGCTTTTTCCGGTTCACTGGTTCTATAATAATCCAAAGCGGTCCGAACGAACCGCCATACTAAAGGTCGGCTGGTCCAATCAGTCGCCCACGTCTTTCCTAACGTCTCCGTCATTCCATTTAATAAGGGACACGTGTAATAATTTCTGGGTCCAGCTGTCTTCTCACAGGTGAGAATCCAACGCTTTCGGTGTTACAAAAATGCCCCTTGATTTGGCTTAATTACAAAAGGCTATCCAAATTCACGCGGATTTTGTGACTTGCTTTTATTAATTGCTTTATTTCTTTACGAGGTTCCTTGACCAAAGAACATCCAATACGTGTTTTTCAATCAAAGGAGATGTCAAAGATCCTAAACCGTGTCAGCCGTTTGATTCTTTGCATGGTTGTTGTGAATCCATTTTTCTTTGAAAACAATAAATAGTTTTGAATGTTATTTTTTTCTCTATAATATAATATAAGAAGGATCGATTTAAATTTTTCATTATATATATATATATATATATATATATATATAATAAAAGTTTATTCTTATCTCTTTGATTTGATAAAATAACTTTCCCAACTAATAACTTAATTTTGATTATTATTATTTTTTCTTTTGTAACGATGATAGGAGAATAAAGCATAAAAAAAAAAAAAGTTCGAAAGATTTTGGCTTTTGGCTCTTTTGCAAAATATTAAAAAAAGAAAAAAGAATTGGTCCAACTGCAGCATGACAACGAGAACAGGCTACTTTTGTCACCGTACAAGTAAAGGGTCGTATGGGTCAATGGCATTGTCGTGATTAAAGAAAATTGTAAGGGCTGAAATTTAAGATAGATGATAATTGTGGCACCGGTAGCATCTAACCCACGTCAGATACCGAGTTTCACCGCCGAGGGTATTGGTGTAGCATTTCCTCTCCCAACCGCCCCTACACGCGCCTTACAAACACGTATTTTGCCTCTAGACATTTTAAATTTTTATTGATATCAGAATTTCCAATTTCAAGATCACAACAAACTTCGATTATAGAGCTAAAATAATAATTTTACAAGAGTTTAATTATTTCAATTTACCAATAATATATAGATTAATTAGTATTAGAGTGTCCGTTTTCAAAAAAAAATTGAATTTGAACTTCTTCTTCGTGACTTAAAAAAATATTAATCTAAAGATTTATTGTAAAATTTTCAAACTTCATATTATAAATTTGACAAATCAACATCTTCAAAAAAGATATTTTTTAAAAAATTAATAATAATTTATTATTCTGTATAAATAAAAAAATTTATTGTAGCAAATAATAATTGAGGTCACCATGAAAAAAAATCAAATGAAGATTTTGTAATAGTTATTAATTGGATAAAAAATCAAAGATGAAAAATATTTTGTGCCAAAAAAACTAATACTAAAAGTTAATTTAACTTACATCAGTTTTCCATTCAATGCATACTCCCCATATATTACAAATTGAATAATTATTTTATATATGGTTCATTATTTATATAGATATTTATTTTAAAGATAACTTGAAAAGCAAAGAATCATCCAAACTTTTCATTTTTATTCTCGGATTTGTTCAGTTCATGGCAATAAAGAAAAAAATGCTTTCCAAAATTAATAAAGGTACTTGAAATGGGTTTTTTTCAAGGTATTATAATTATAATATTTTCAGGTTACAAATTTTAAATATTTTTATTTATTGTATTATAATAATTTTTATATAATTGAGTAACTTAATTAATTTTCTTGTAATTCTATTAATTACTAATATTATTTTATGGCTACCATTCAAAAAATAGATTGTTACTTTCAAAAGGAAAATAACACTATTTATTCTATAATACGTGATTGATTATAAACTGTTAAATAAGTTCATTAAATAAACTATAAAATATTTTTTTAATTTAAGTAATTGCCATGTAATTATGATAATCACCAACAACTAAGTACAGTTTCTATAAAAAAAATTATTATTTTCTCAAAGAAGAAATAATATTATTTAAATTATAAAGAAACTATTTATAATTAATTATTTTATAAACTTGAAGTCAGGATAATTACAAGGCCTGGAAGTAACCATAAGAAGCTCCTTGACAAATCATGCGATCCGTGTGTCTCACGTATCGCTAATGGGATTGGGAAAAACTCCGAAACCGCCTCATAATTCCTCCAAGGCACCACCCACCTTTCTCCTTCCCTATAAAAACGACCCTCTTCTCCATTCTTGTAAAACCTCGTTAACTCAAACAAAATCAACCCTTCCTCTTTCTTTCTCTCTTTGAGGTATTCCTCCTGTTCTTTCTTTGATTCTTGATTTTCTTGTGAATATTTTGTCGTCTTGATCTATTTCTCTCGAAAAACATGGGAGTTCTTGTTGTAAATCCCCAAGATTGCCTAAAAAATCCTTTACAGCAACAACCAACGAGGATGAGGTTCCCACGGAACCCTAACCCTAGCAATCCTCGCCCAAACAAGGCACAACCCAATCGCCGAAAGCGAAATACAAATTCATCCCCACCTCCACGCGCCGCTGCTCCCAAGAATAACAACAACAACAACAACAACAGAAGCAGCAACCTTGTTATGGGACAAGTCAAGATCCTTAAACGCGGCGAAGAAGATTTACTAAAGCCCACGAAGAAAGTTGAGACTCCGAAAGGGATTCCAATTCCAAAGGCTGTAAAAAGTGGAGATCTGGGTCTTGGTTCAACCAGCAGGTTGGGTCCGGATCCCGTGTTGGTCCCAACTCATGTCCGACTCACTGAGTCGAAGGACTTTGTTAATGGTTTTTATGCTGGATCGGCTTTTTTTACATCGCCGCCTCCGAGTTCTCTTCCTTTACCTGGGTTTTTCACAAAGAAGGCAAATGATCCTGTTGCTGTTGATGCAGGCAGTGAGTTAAGGAAGCTTTTAGGGCTTAGTTTATAGTTTGAATTAAGTCTATTTTGATGGGTTTGAAGATGCTGGATGCGATTTGAAGTTTGAAGATTATGATGATGATGGGGTTTTGATTTTGATGTTTTGCATTCGATTTTCCCTTATTTTTTCAAGGGGAGAATTCGAATTGCTAGACTTTAAAATTCTTAAGTCTTATTTCGCGTGCTGTCTATGTATAGCTTTTATTACCTAGTTTGTGTCAGTTGTTAGAAATTAGAATTTCTAATTAGGTGTTTCTGGGTAATTAAGGTTGCAGTTAGTTCATTTTCTTCTTCAAGTGAAGTATAGTTTAGTTTCTAATGGGTTTTTACTTTGAGGTCTTTTAAGTTCCTAATAGTTGTCTATTAAGTTGGCTCTCTCTGTCCTTTATATTTAGGGGTATTTTTTTTGTATCCCTGTTTATGATGTACTTGATTAGTTATCTTAATAAAATTATCCTTTTTACTGTTAGTTCTCATGGTTTTATTATGAAATTAAATTGTGAAGCTTGATTTTGGCAATTTGAATTTGCTTTAAAATCTGAAACACGTTGATTTAAGAAATGATTTTGGGCTAGAATTTTGTTGAAGATTTCATGTTTGTGCTTGCCATCCAAACAAACGAAGTTATCTGGGCAACTTCCCATGATTGTCAGCATCATCCTATATGACAAGTTTTTCAGCAGAAGTTGCAGCAAGTTCTTCAAGAGCAAGACACAGAGTCTGTTCGAAATTTCTTGGAAAATTTTGAGGGTGTTAAGATCGCAGTTGTGTTTGTTTAATAAAGTGACTGATTCATGTATTTCTGTAGGGCATGGCTTCAAGGAAGATTTGGGTGTGAGTTGGTTCTTGATTTCTGCTACAATTTGCTCATTTTGATTTTTGCAGTAGCGTTTACTGTGAACTTGCCTTTGTTTTTTCTTCACAGGATCCCACTTGTTTGAAGGGAAAATGTTGCATACAAGGAGAATTTGGAATTGGATTTCCTTTACTTGGTATGTTAAGTTAATAATCCAAATAATTAAATACATGGCAGTCTGTATTCACATGGAGGATGAGATCAAAACTGGTCAGTTAATTGTTAGAAATTAGAATCTTTAATTAGGTGTTTCTGGGTAATTAACGTTGCAGTTAGTTCATTTTCTTCTCAAGTGAATTATCCTTTTTACTGTTATTCTTATAGTTTTATTATGAAATTAAATTGTGAAGCTTGATTTTTGTAATTTGAATTTGCTTTAAAACCTGAAACAAGACCAATTCTAATACATCTTGATAGAAGAGATGATTTTGGGCTAGAAGTCGTTTAAGATTCCATGATTGTGAGCATCCAATATGACACGTTTTTCAGCAAAAGATTGCTGTTATGTTTGCGGAGTGAAATTCTTTACTTGCTGTGTTTGCTTGTAGGGCATGGCTTGAAGGAAGATTTGGGTTCTTGATTTCTGCTTGCAATTTGCTATTTTGATTTTCGCAGTGTAGTGTTTAACATGAACTTGCCTTTGTTGTTTCCTCACAGGATCCCCACTTGATTGAAGGGAAAATGTTGCATACAAGGAGAATTTGGAATTGGATTTCCTTTACTTGGTATGGTAAGGTAATCCAAATAATTAAATTCCAGGCAATTTGTATCCACATGGAGGATAAGATCAAAACTGGTTAGGTGAATATTATGCCTGGTCAATGCAAAGATTTATTATAATAATTGAATACAAAATTATTGATGAAAATGGGAGGTTGGGATATGCCTATCTTTGCTTCCTAATGTGGTGGTATGAGCTTGCCTGGGCTCCATGCTATCAAGGATAAGCTTAACCAGCTAATTTGCTGTCAAAATTCTGCCAGCTTGATGGCTTTTGGAGGAATTTAAGTCCTTAAATTCCTCTCTTTTACGCCAAATTAAGGGAAGACAATGCTAAAAGATAATTGATAATTTTGAGACATAGTTGCACAGAAATGGATTCTCTTCGTGCAAAGAGGGACAACACTTTGGAATCCTCTTTTGCCTTTCGTCATTACCATTTCAATAATTCAAGGGACAGAACTTTAAAGTACGAGAAGATGCTTTACTATTTTCTTTACTTTTCCCAAAAGCTTTGTCTAATAGCTTTGTGAAAGAAAAAATGTAATCATGCACGAAAGTTTCTTCCCAAACCATTTTTCAACCATTGGATTTATGAGTTGTATAGGTGGGATTTTCAGAAAATAAGAAAGTCATTGCGTTTGAAAATATCTGTAAAGTTGGCTCTTCCCGAAGCACGCCCATCTTGACCAGGTCCAAATCCGTACCAAACTATAGGTTTTAGGGTGCAAAAAATTAGGAGGAGCCGAATTTCTGGGCTGTGATATGGGCTTTGGCTTTTATCCGGGCCGAAGGCTAGTTTGGGGTCAAGAATTGGACTTTAGAGGGGATAAATAATGGCCTGACAAGAATTATATACTCCCAAGTTTTCTTATTAGAAAAATGCCATTTTTTATTTCCTCATGACCAATTTTGGATGGACAAAAAAATTATAAAAATAGACCAAAAAAATGTTTTATTTCTCATTTTAAATACAAATTATAAAATTAAAATTCAGAAAATTATTCCTCTTGATTAAAAAACTGCTCCCAAGAGTTTAGGATCCATCTCGTAAATTATGGTATAGCCATGATATTAGCAATTCTCTTAGCGAGCTGGAAGCGTACAGTGACTCAAATATATATATATATATATTCTCCTTCCATCTAATGGAATGGTTTCTCCATGGAAGATCTTCCCTCGCCTGTGTGTGCATATATATATATATATATATATAGATCGCGTGTGTGTGTGCACATATATATATATATATATAGACACACACACATGGGATCTTTGATACTTGGGATACTATAGCACATTCTTCGTCAACATTTTCCCAAATCTCAGTTTGGCATTCAGGGATCTTCAGCATGTTTCTGTTTCTAAACATTTGATGGCAACCATCCTTTCATCTTGATTGAAAAATAATGATATCCCCCACGTTGATGCAGCTTTCTTTTTCTCGCACAGCAAGCTCCTTTAGGAATTTCAATCAATTTACAAAAATCAATTTGTTCCAGCTATCTAAGACCCAAATATTTAGAAGTTTAAATCTTTTACAACAATTAATAGAAACCAATATATCGCTTGATTTTAATTATTTTGATTTTAAAGCGTCATTATCTTCAATACAATAATTGGGATTGGAAATCTTTCTTGTGACATTCAGTTTTTCTGTAATGATTCCTTGTATGATAGGTTTGGGGTTCACCTTTAAAAAGTGATGGTTTGTGTCTTTATTCAGGTCCGGGTTGGAGAGGGATTTAGCTATTTATCATGGAGTAAATTATAAATTAGTCCGTCTGGTTTCAAAGAAAAAAAAATTAATTAGACTTTCTCGTTTTGAAAACTAATTATTAAATTCATATATTTTGAAATCTACCTGTCATTTAATTCTTTTTGCTCATTTTTTTAATTTATTTTAATTTTTTAAATAGAAAAAAAGAAAAAATATGAAAAAATATAGAAAGATTGATTAGAAAATAAGAAATTTTTTTAAAATAAAAATAGTATTAAATTAAGCATGATGAACACTAATTAAATAATTAAATAATAGTTTTTTAAACTAAGGGATTAATTAATTTGTTTCTTGAAACTATAGGGATTAATTTATAATTTATTGTTTTATACTGGGGGACCTGTTTCTCACGCTTCTATTAAAAACAAAAACAAAAACAAACTGTACCATAGCTATGAAGATCCACGGTCTCGACTGAAACGTGACAGAAACAAGTTCTGGGCAATGTATTTGTGTTCGGAAGTTTGGCGTTTTTGTTTTCGTTTGATCCCTGTGTTTGTGGCTTTTTTTATTTTGGTGGCTTAATGTAAAAGTCATTTTCAATTGTAGCCCTTATTTCAACCTAATAAGGGTCAGATTGAATGGATCAAGCATGTTTTTTTTTAATTATTCTTTTGTTTATATTCTAACCCTAATGTTTGTTTTGTTGTTTTATTTTGATAGCATGGTTTTGTTAGCTCTCAATTATATCTTTATTTTTAGATGACATAGGCTAATTCTTGAGAAAAAGAGAGTGTTCATTTTCATTTTTTTTAGTTCGTTTGGTCCTTGATTCATTGGATATTTTTTTTAGAGATCTTTTTTTAATTAGGCAACTAATTTCATAATTCGACACAGATAAATTCTTGTCTATTACTTAGCATATCTAAATATTATAATTTACCATTTAGCATGCATTGCTACATACATAAATTAATTTTCCTATAAAAGAGATGAGGAGTTTTAAATAATTTTTACTATCGTCTCGTAATTATTTGCATACGATATCATTGTATTGCTTGAATATGTAATTTCATTGAAAAAAATATATTTAAATTCAACAGTAAGACAATGAGTCTCTTTTTTTAGGGCTTGATAGCGAAATGATAAGATTTCATAATTATTTTTAAGATTACCATGTAATATTAGTTGTTTTCATTTTGGGTCATAAAATCATATTTATTATTCACATCTCAGATATCCAACATATCTTGACATGTCATAATGTTTATTGTATGAAATTCATGCCAGAAGTTGAATTGGATCTAACATTAAATTGATAAGATTTCTAATTTTAAAATTTAAAAATAATTTAATAAGATTTCATAATAATTGTTAGATAATTTAGCACGTCAAAAATCATACTTAAATTGGTAAAGATTTTTTTTTTTAATTGCATTTTGCATCGTACTTGCATTAATTTGCCATACACATTGAGCAACTTTTCCACATGCAATCTTCCATTTGAAATCTATTGAAAAGTAATCCTATCTAACATTAAATTGCCGAGACTCTTAGTTTTAAATATTCATAAAAATTTACAAATAATTCAATAAATTTTATTTTTTCCATATCATGTTATTTTCCAACCAGTCAAGGTTGCGATTCCGATATTTTCAAACCTTGTCCATTTTGGATTTTAAAGACACAAACAAATAAATATGAAGAATTGACTTTCTAGCTTAATTCAAAATTCACGTTGAGTTGACTGGAAAATAAACTCACAAATAACCTTAAAAAATTATTTGACAAGTAATTATTAGAAAATGAATTTAGAAATAAAAGCAAGCCGGTAATCTTTCTACAAAAACTGATATTTTTAGGCGATTATTGTCTCTTTTTTTAAAAAATATAATCAAATCCTTGCTTGTAACCTTTTTTAGAAAATTATCTTTTTGAGTGATTTGTTATATTCTCTTAAACATAATTAAATCCTTTCCTATTTTTCTGAAAATAGTTTCATTTTAAGAATTAAGAACAGAAATCTTATTTCCGGGATTCCAAACCATAGAAAGATTTGCTACAAAATTATAAAAAAATGTTACATGATATCAACATTTTTTTCCAACACAAACCAGAAGTCAAAAAGACTCATTTCTTCGTTATTTGGATTGCCCTTCGACGTCTTAGTCGGAATAAAATAAGGTCTTCGATTAATTAAGAAAAAAAAATACCAATCTAAAAGTCAAAAGATTCATTTCTGAGCTGTGATTTGGATTTGACAACATCTTATTGTCATTTTGTGATTATCATTCATCCTTTCAATTGATGTCTCTTCGTTGTGGGCTATACTCACGACCATGGCTTTCGAAGTTTGAACCGTGCTTGCTTGCTTAGTCACACGCCGTTGCTTCATATGGGACCTATTCTTCTACAGTGCTTCAAAGCCCAACAAGGCAACAAGTTGTTAGTAGCTGGAGAAGGGAATCAATCACATTACCACCTCAAAAGAAAATTGGTGGGAAGTGTTAAAAAGAGTACTCTAATGGACCACTACATTGCACTTTCCTGACACAAAAAATAGGGACAGACAACTACAATTTGTTCCATGTGGATTATAGCCAAATTGGTGACAAATTACAATCTAAGAAAAAATATATATATATTTATCAAACATTAAAATTTATGTCTTTTTTTTTTAAAAAAAGAGATATTTATAAGTTGTTTCAGAACGTTACAAACAACCCTAAAAGAGGTGAGATTTTTATTATTCTTAAATTATTCAATTACTCACATAATACTATTCATTTAATTACATTTTTATGATTTTAAGTCAGTAATATTTTTGTTATTTAAAGTTTTTTTCAGATATTTATTCTGCCAACAATACTGTGCATTCCTCTCTCTCTCTCTCTTTTTAAATAATTTTGAGGTTTTCATGCATTTTATACGTAAAGTTTATTGCTCTTTTGCTCCTTATTTTTTTCAACAATTTTTATTTCAACATACAACTTTAATTATATTATAATCTGGTTCCTAACTATTAAGAGAAGAGAAAAACAAAGAGAGAGGAGGAAGGAGAGTGAGAGGGATCTATGTATGAATTTTTTAATAAATTTTTAAAATATTATCATTTGTTCTTTAAAAAAATTAATATAATT